ATGCCCCCAATTCCTAGACATACCTACTCTACTAAGACTTGCCCCCAATTCCTAGACACGCCTACTGTACTAAGACATGCCCCCAATTCCTAGACACGCCTACTCTACTAAGACAAGCCCCCAGTTCCTAGACACACCTATTCTACTAAGACATGCCCCCAATTCCTAGACACACCTACTATACTAAGACATGCCCCCAATACCTTGGCACACCTACTCTACTAAGACATGCCCCCAATTCCTAGACACACCTACTCTACAAAGACATGCCCCCATTCCTAGACACACCTACTCTACTAAGACATGCCCCCAATTCCTAGACACACCTACTCTACTAAGACATGCCCCCAATACCTTGGCTCACCTACTCTACTAAGACATGCCCCCAATTCCTAGACACACCTACTCTACTAAGACATGCCCCCAATTCCTAGACACACCTACTCTACTAAGACATGCCCCCAACTCCTAGACACACCTACTCTACTAAGACATGCCTCCAATTCCTAGACACACCTACTCTACTAAGACATGCCCCCAATTCCTAGACACACCTACTCTCCAGTCATTACATCTGATTGAAAATAAAAATAACTTGAGAAAAAGTATTATCACTGACCATGTCATATATTCCCCATAAATTGGGTTGCTTTGTATCTCCCCCCTTTATCCAATGATTGCTTTGTATCTCCCTGATATCTAATGATTGCTTCTTATCTCCCTGATATCTAATGATTATATACTGTATATATATAGTATACAGACACACATAGAACATATTGGCCCATGTACAGTATATAGATGGGGATTTGCAGTTGGAATTCTATACACTCCTTGCTGCTCTTTTATGAATCCTTCACACTCACCGGATGCAGGAATGTCGTTGTGATCTTGCTACCACGGCAACAGCCCCGGCAACTGACACGTCTCCCTAGCAACAGCTGCTAGAAGGAGGTTCCACGCTGCAAATGTGCTTAGTGTGCTCTAGGCCCGTCCAACCCGCCGCCAGCCGTCGTCTAGCCAGATAACCTGCAACGTCAGGACGAGCCGTTCTGTGTCTGCCGCTCCCTACGTCACTGAGACCTCCCCGACCAAGACCTCCACCCAGAACATGGGAAGTGGTACTGTGCAGAGTCCATACATAGAGAATAGGAGGAGATACAGAGAATGACACCCGGCATACAGGACAAGAGAAGTGGTACTGTGCAGAGTCCATACATACAGAATAAGAACAGATACCGAGAATGACACTCGGCATACAGGACAAGAGAAGTGGTACTGTGCAGAGTCCATACATACAGAATAAGAACATATACCGAGAATGACACCCAGCATACAGGACAAGAGAAGTGGTACTGTGCAGAGTCCATACATACAGAATAAAGGGGAATATATTTGATCCTCTATACAATGTTTAGTCTCTCGGTTGCTATGGTAACAGCCCTCCCTCTCTGTGGCGTATGGTGGCCTTGATCATTAAGTAGTTCATCTCGCCGTCTGGAATACGATTGTCAGACGCGGTGTAGCGATGTCTGAGGCGCAGTGTAGCGATGTCTGAGGCGTCTGACGTCTCTGCAGGTTCTCTTCCATTACAGTCTTGTGCAACAAGAGCAACAATGACGGATAAGGTGCTGTAACCCATGGCAACCACTTACACAGTGGCGTCACAAGGGGGGTGCGGCCAGCACCCGGGTTCCACCATTGGAGGGGTGACACCAAAATGACTGACAGTCATTTTGGTGTCACCCCCTAGGAAAAGTCGGGCACTCGGTCACAGACCAAGAGCCCGACAGTGTCAGGAGAGAGGAGGGGACTCGGCGGCATCCCTCATCCCGCCGGGTGAACGTCCCCTCCTCTCTCTGCCGGCGTCCATCACCAAGATGGCCGCCGGCAGGCGTCAATAAGACGACCGTGCATGCGCGAAGACTGATCACTTGGGGAGGGGAGACTGAGGAAATGCTTCCTCCTGCCTGCAGCAGACTGATGACATCATCTCAGCCTAGGCCAAGTCACTGACTGGAGCTCATGGACGGCTTTTTAATGATAAAAGGGGGAAATCATCTATAAAATGTATCCTGTCGTGTATTAAGACATGTGAAGCTACTGACTAGTAATGGGCTCGGGCGTGTTCGCAGCTCCACGTGCCGAGCCCGCCAGGAAGCTGACAGCGCTCCCACCTGGCTCACATGCAGGGACAGGTAGCTGCCAGAAGGGGGCAGTGTCAGACCACATTACGCCAGTCATAACAAAGCTGGAGCTGCTGAGATAGATTTCGGTTTATAATTGGCGACACGTGCGATATTTTGGACGTTTTCGTGTTTCTAATTTGTTCTCAATCTCCATTACGTCGATATTTTGGTGTTTTTTTTTCGTCCTTCGGTTTTATTCTCACCGTGTGGAACTTTTAGAACTCTGGAAATGTAGAAGGAAGTGAGGCGATAAATGGGGTAAAGAAGTCAGAATGTATTATTATTATTATTTGCGGATCGTTCTAAGTAGATCCCGGGGGGAGGATAAAGGCTGGTGCATTCTGGGAGGACAGGGCGGGGTTAATGGGATTTAAAATACTTCCAGAATTAGAATATTACTCATTATTATAGGAAAGGAAAGATCATCACATGACATGTGAATGGAGCCCGATAGCCAATCAGCGGGCAGGATAATATAAATGTATAACAAGGAAAATCTCAATGAGACAACTTATAATACATCTCCCCCATGACTACTATTCATGAGAGATCAGTGTCAGGGTGTCATTGTTCTGGGACCACCAAGTGTCAGGGTGTCATTGTTCCGGGGCCCTCAAGTGTCAGTGTGTCATTGTTCCGGGGGCCCCAAGTGTCAGGGTGTCATTGTTCCTGGGCCCGCAAGTGTCAGTGTGTCATTGTTCCGGGGCCCCAAGTGTCAGTGTGTCATTGCTCTGGGACCCCCAAGTGTCAGTGTGTCTTTGTTCTGGGGCCCCGAGTGTTAGTGTGTCATTGTTCTCGACCCCCAAGTGTCAGTGTGTCTTTGTTCTGGGGCCCCGAGTGTTAGTGTGTCATTGTTCTCGACCCCCAAGTGTCAGTGTGTCTTTGTTCTGGGGCCCCGAGTGTTAGTGTGTCATTGTTCTCGACCCCCAAGTGTCAGTGTGTCTTTGTTCTGGGGCCCCGAGTGTTAGTGTGTCATTGTTCTCGACCCCCAAGTGTCAGTGTGTCTTTGTTCTGGGGCCCCGAGTGTTAGTGTGTCATTGTTCTCGACCCCCAAGTGTCAGTGTGTCTTTGTTCTGGGGCCCCGAGTGTTAGTGTGTCATTGTTCTCGACCCCCAAGTGTCAGTGTGTCTTTGTTCTGGGGCCCCGAGTGTTAGTGTGTCATTGTTCTCGACCCCCAAGTGTCAGTGTGTCTTTGTTCTGGGGCCCCGAGTGTTAGTGTGTCATTGTTCTCGACCCCCAAGTGTCAGTGTGTCTTTGTTCTGGGGCCCCGAGTGTTAGTGTGTCATTGTTCTCGACCCCCAAGTGTCAGTGTGTCTTTGTTCTGGGGCCCCGAGTGTTAGTGTGTCATTGTTCTCGACCCCCAAGTGTCAGTGTGTCTTTGTTCTGGGGCCCCGAGTGTTAGTGTGTCATTGTTCTCGACCCCCAAGTGTCAGTGTGTCTTTGTTCTGGGGCCCCGAGTGTTAGTGTGTCATTGTTCTCGACCCCCAAGTGTCAGTGTGTCTTTGTTCTGGGGCCCCGAGTGTTAGTGTGTCATTGTTCTCGACCCCCAAGTGTCAGTGTGTCTTTGTTCTGGGGCCCCGAGTGTTAGTGTGTCATTGTTCTCGACCCCCAAGTGTCAGTGTGTCTTTGTTCTGGGGCCCCGAGTGTTAGTGTGTCATTGTTCTCGACCCCCAAGTGTCAGTGTGTCTTTGTTCTGGGGCCCCGAGTGTTAGTGTGTCATTGTTCTCGACCCCCAAGTGTCAGTGTGTCTTTGTTCTGGGGCCCCGAGTGTTAGTGTGTCATTGTTCTCGACCCCCAAGTGTCAGTGTGTCTTTGTTCTGGGGCCCCGAGTGTTAGTGTGTCATTGTTCTCGACCCCCAAGTGTCAGTGTGTCTTTGTTCTGGGGCCCCGAGTGTTAGTGTGTCATTGTTCTCGACCCCCAAGTGTCAGTGTGTCTTTGTTCTGGGGCCCCGAGTGTTAGTGTGTCATTGTTCTCGACCCCCAAGTGTCAGTGTGTCTTTGTTCTGGGGCCCCGAGTGTTAGTGTGTCATTGTTCTCGACCCCCAAGTGTCAGTGTGTCTTTGTTCTGGGGCCCCGAGTGTTAGTGTGTCATTGTTCTCGACCCCCAAGTGTCAGTGTGTCTTTGTTCTGGGGCCCCGAGTGTTAGTGTGTCATTGTTCTCGACCCCCAAGTGTCAGTGTGTCTTTGTTCTGGGGCCCCGAGTGTTAGTGTGTCATTGTTCTCGACCCCCAAGTGTCAGTGTGTCTTTGTTCTGGGGCCCCGAGTGTTAGTGTGTCATTGTTCTCGACCCCCAAGTGTCAGTGTGTCTTTGTTCTGGGGCCCCGAGTGTTAGTGTGTCATTGTTCTCGACCCCCAAGTGTCAGTGTGTCTTTGTTCTGGGGCCCCGAGTGTTAGTGTGTCATTGTTCTCGACCCCCAAGTGTCAGTGTGTCTTTGTTCTGGGGCCCCGAGTGTTAGTGTGTCATTGTTCTCGACCCCCAAGTGTCAGTGTGTCTTTGTTCTGGGGCCCCGAGTGTTAGTGTGTCATTGTTCTCGACCCCCAAGTGTCAGTGTGTCTTTGTTCTGGGGCCCCGAGTGTTAGTGTGTCATTGTTCTCGACCCCCAAGTGTCAGTGTGTCTTTGTTCTGGGGCCCCGAGTGTTAGTGTGTCATTGTTCTCGACCCCCAAGTGTCAGTGTGTCTTTGTTCTGGGGCCCCGAGTGTTAGTGTGTCATTGTTCTCGACCCCCAAGTGTCAGTGTGTCTTTGTTCTGGGGCCCCGAGTGTTAGTGTGTCATTGTTCTCGACCCCCAAGTGTCAGTGTGTCTTTGTTCTGGGGCCCCGAGTGTTAGTGTGTCATTGTTCTCGACCCCCAAGTGTCAGTGTGTCTTTGTTCTGGGGCCCCGAGTGTTAGTGTGTCATTGTTCTCGACCCCCAAGTGTCAGTGTGTCTTTGTTCTGGGGCCCCGAGTGTTAGTGTGTCATTGTTCTCGACCCCCAAGTGTCAGTGTGTCTTTGTTCTGGGGCCCCGAGTGTTAGTGTGTCATTGTTCTCGACCCCCAAGTGTCAGTGTGTCTTTGTTCTGGGGCCCCGAGTGTTAGTGTGTCATTGTTCTCGACCCCCAAGTGTCAGTGTGTCTTTGTTCTGGGGCCCCGAGTGTTAGTGTGTCATTGTTCTCGACCCCCAAGTGTCAGTGTGTCTTTGTTCTGGGGCCCCGAGTGTTAGTGTGTCATTGTTCTCGACCCCCAAGTGTCAGTGTGTCTTTGTTCTGGGGCCCCGAGTGTTAGTGTGTCATTGTTCTCGACCCCCAAGTGTCAGTGTGTCTTTGTTCTGGGGCCCCGAGTGTTAGTGTGTCATTGTTCTCGACCCCCAAGTGTCAGTGTGTCTTTGTTCTGGGGCCCCGAGTGTTAGTGTGTCATTGTTCTCGACCCCCAAGTGTCAGTGTGTCTTTGTTCTGGGGCCCCGAGTGTTAGTGTGTCATTGTTCTCGACCCCCAAGTGTCAGTGTGTCTTTGTTCTGGGGCCCCGAGTGTTAGTGTGTCATTGTTCTCGACCCCCAAGTGTCAGTGTGTCTTTGTTCTGGGGCCCCGAGTGTTAGTGTGTCATTGTTCTCGACCCCCAAGTGTCAGTGTGTCTTTGTTCTGGGGCCCCGAGTGTTAGTGTGTCATTGTTCTCGACCCCCAAGTGTCAGTGTGTCTTTGTTCTGGGGCCCCGAGTGTTAGTGTGTCATTGTTCTCGACCCCCAAGTGTCAGTGTGTCTTTGTTCTGGGGCCCCGAGTGTTAGTGTGTCATTGTTCTCGACCCCCAAGTGTCAGTGTGTCTTTGTTCTGGGGCCCCGAGTGTTAGTGTGTCATTGTTCTCGACCCCCAAGTGTCAGTGTGTCTTTGTTCTGGGGCCC